AATAAATAAATTTAGTCTCTCACTTAAATTTTACAATTATTTGATTTTGTACTATCTTCATAATAATTTATTACTATTTGAGTTTTTTTTTCTTTTTCCATTTATATGGTGCGTTACAACTTACAAACGCTCGATTACTTACTTTTTTTTATTATTTTCAGATATGTCGTGTTCGTAAATTCTGACGGAAAAATCAAATATTTCCATGTAATTAAATTCAGTTACGTAATTTCAATTATACGTTTTTGTGAATCTTTTGTGACTATTGAGTAAAAAACAAAAGAAAAGTAGTAAAAGAGCAGGTAAAGACTTTTAAATAATAGTTTCATCTCCAAAAAAGGAAAAAAAACAAAATAGTGACGAATTAAGATATCTAATTACCATTTTAAACTAAAATATCTTATTGGCTCGAGTTCGTGCATCGAATTACGAGACGACGCTCGTTTCCCGCACACATCATTTGAGTTTTTAATATTTTTTATTTCGGAAAAAATTTAGCTTTAACCTTTTAAAAGTTCTATATGTAGTGTATATATATATACACATGCCGTTGACGTAATTTTCTTCACGAAATTTGGACGTGTTTTGATTTTATAGAATTTGTCAATTATTTTTCCAATTAAACACTAGACATACCATTACAACATATATTATACAGCTTATTATAAGTTAACTTTTTGCTGAAAATATAACTTATTATAAGTTTGTAAGTTATAAATGCTGATAGTCTGAAAATGGTTGAAGATGTCCGTTTTATTTGGGATTTAATTTTTTATTTTCCTTTTGGAATTGTATTTATTATGCGGTGTTTTTTTATTGCTAAAGAAAAAAGAATGCATAATATAAAATCAGATTTTGGGTCTAATCAGAAGAGAAATAATTGAAAGAAAACTGAAAACATATTGAAGTTAGATAATTCAACAGAATAATTTACGTGTCGGATGTTGCTGCGCGCATGTGACATGTACACTGCTCAAAGTTATATCTTTTTGGATTTTTCGAGAACCAAATAATCATCATTTAGGAGTTAGTGATAAGCAAAAATTAATATTTTCTATATATGAAACTAAAAAAAAAATATCGTCACCTGAGAGATTCGAACTCTCGCGGGGAAACCCCATGTACTTAGCAGGCACACGCCTTAACCACTCGGCCAAAGTGACTGTTGGCAGTAAACTAAAAATGTAATATAATAAAAGAGAAGATATACCCACAAAAGAGGAGAATACCCACAATGTTGCTAACATTGGATTTTGATGGATTGAGAAACTATGAACATGGCCAGGTTCAATCTTTTTTAGATAATATTCCTGAAAAACATAAAAAAGATAAAACTTTGATTAAGAATACCATCCCTATTGAGAAAAAT